GAAAAATTCATGGATAAAAAGAATTTCCGTTTGGTGCTGTTTTACAATATTTTAGAGGTTTGTTTGTTATGTTTAGAAAAGTATATTTACTTTTAAGAAAAATGCTAATTTTTAGTCAGAGACTATGTAGTTTACATTTAGTTAATAATTTTTTATATTTTTAAGTGCTTATGTATGAAAATATATGATGTTTTATTTCAAAAAGTATAGAAATATAAAATATAAAGTTGAGGATACAGTCAAGGTCAAAGTTAATTTATATATTTTGTGTTATGTCACATTTACTTCTATGATTTTTTATTGAGTTTTGTTAAATATCATTAATTTTTATGTATATAACTTATACATGTGATTTATTTATATTATACATGTAACTGTTTATTATCATTATTAGAGAAAGAAATTTGTGAATAGAAAACATTCTATTAAAAATATGTTATATGAGTTCTAACATTTTTAAATATAACAAAAGAGCTTAATGTATATAATTAACATATTTAATCATAGAATATAGTCTGTATTGATTTGATAATAACTATTAAAGAAAACTGATAAATATTAGTTATTTAAAATATATTACATATTGAATTGGATTTTTGCAAATTTTTTATTTAGCATTTATATATTTTTATATTGAATAAGTTTATGTATATGAGAAATTTTGGGAACTTATTTTATATTAGACTTTGTAAAAAATATCTTAATATATAAATCTTAATATAATGTTTCAGTACTATTAAGATATGAATATAAATTTAAAAGTAAACAGTGATCATTTAGTTCATATTTTTAATACATTTTTGTGTTATTTACATAGGATTACATAGCAACACAGGTCTAGTAGAGGTGCCATGGATGATGAAGAGCGAAAAAAAAACTTGAGGGTGAGGAAGAAATGGAACTAGATGAAGCCTCTGATGGTGAAGACGAAGATGAAGAAACAACAGGAATTCCTGTATCACCAGCAAATTCAGATCAACTGCTTGGGCCTGCACCGACAACTCCTGGTAATAGTGAGTATATGTTTTTTCTATATTTTAATACATTCATGGCATTAATAGTTTACATTTCATTATAACAATATAAAAAAATTTCAGTAAACAATGTCATTATAAAAATTATATATCATTTCAGAGGAAGCACAAAAGTTTGTTTCTCTTGCAGTAACCCCAGATGAAGCTTTTCATGATCCTTTACGGTACCAGAAATTTCCACTTCCTGGAGGCAAACCTTTGAACATTAGGCGGGGTCCAGGTAGACCTAGAAAAGAACGTCCACCTGGAGTTACACGTGGTGGTAGTACTCGTAGACCTTTTGGAAGAGGAACTACTAGGGGCAAAGGGTTAGTATTTCATTAAAATGAAGTACATAAATATAATTTTCTATATTTGGAAAATTTCCTTATCTTAGTCTTGGATATGCAAGAGGTGTGCCACGCCGTACTAAAAGCAAAGATGATGATACACATTCGGAATCCCCAAGTCCTCTTCGCCTTGGTGAAGATGTTACTCCTGATGGAGAGACATCTAACACTGAGAGATGCATGCCAGCACCAGAAGAACCACCATATTTTCCAGAACAATGGTAAGAATATTTAACATTTTGCTTTTTATCTTTAGTTAATCTTTAATTAATTAATTAAAGCCATGAATTCAATAATTGTTAAAGAAATGTATTCAATTTTAGGCCAGGGAAAGTATGTGCTTTATGTAATTTGGGTGAAAGAAGTCAATTAGGTCAAGGTGAGTTGCTAAGACTTACTTGTCCTGAAGGTTTTACCCCTGAAAAGTCAACTAATCGTGACGAAACAACTGACCATCTTGTTGATATATCTACTGGAGACAAAAGTCCGCGTGCAGCAGGTCCTGGTGCTGTGACTTGTCGTAGACAAAAAAGTCTAGCTAAGTGCAGGTATTTAAGTTGTAATAAAGATTTACTTTTACACATAGTAATAAAACTGTATTTATAATTACAACAACCAGATTATTTTGTTATAGGAATACTAGTCTAACAAATTTTTCGGAACCAGTGGAAGAATTAACCATAGTAGGATATTCGGAAGAACCGGAAATAGGAACATTATTTGAATCAACTGGGCACTATTATGTTCATCAATCTTGTGCAGTATGGTCAAGCAATACCCAAGAATTAACAACGGAAATGCTAAGCCCAGCAATAGTACAAGCTTCATCGAGACGTTGTGCTTATTGTTCTCATTATGGAGCTGGAATTCCTTGCAAAGTCAGTGTTCTTTTTACTTTCCTTTCTTTCTTTTTCTTTTTTTAAACCTTTTTTTTACAGTCATTAAGTTAATTTTGTATCAGGATACATTATATTTTAATTTTTAAATAGGTGGCATCGTGCAATCGTTATTTTCATTTACCATGTGCTGCAGCTTCAAGTTGTTTCCAGGATACAAAGAGTTTGTCCCTCTTTTGTAGTCAACATTTGGGACAAGTTCCTCTTTTGTGTAAGTGTTATATTATAGTTTATTTAACTGTACATGTACTGTATTTGTGTATAATATTTGTATATACTTGTGTACATATTTATATATACTTGTGTACATATTTATATATATTATTTTATTTTAGTGAATGGTGATGTTACTTGTATGCAGTGCTGTGGGATGGGAGATGTTTCCAACCTAGTAATGTGTTCCATCTGTGGCCAACACTATCATGGTGGTTGTGTTGGTTTAGCACTACTACCTGGTGTACGAGCTGGCTGGCAGTGTGTATCTTGCAGAGTATGTCAAGTGTGCCGTCAACCAGAAGATGTTTCAAAAGTAATGTTGTGTGAACGTTGTGAGAAAGCGTATCATCCTAGTTGTTTACGACCAATTGTTACATCTATACCTAAATATGGTTGGAAGTGTAAGTGCTGCCGTGTATGTACAGACTGTGGTTCGCGTACTCCAGGCGCTGGTCTTTCATCACGGTGGCATTCTCATTACACTGTATGTGATTCGTGTTACCAACAAAGGAACAAAGGTTTTTCGTGTCCTCTTTGTAGAAAGGCATATCGGGCCGCCGCGTATAGAGAAATGGTTCAATGTAGTGCATGTAAAAAGTTTGTTCATGGTACCTGTGACCCTGAGGCTGATCCATTAACTTACCAACACCGTAAAGAAGTTAAACCTGACTATGAATATGTTTGTCTACACTGCAAAAATATGGCACTTGTAAAAAGAAAAGATAATATTGATGATTATGGTGGAGATTTGAGTTTAAGTGCATCACAAGAAAGTCTGTATGGTGATGGAGATTCTTCAGAATTTGATTATCAGGGGGGATCAGAGGAAGCACTATATTCTATAGGTCTTGGAAAAGGAAAACCATTCTGTGCATCTAAAATTGCAAAGAAACGATTAGGACTCGGAAGTGGAATCATTGGTCGGCCAAAAGGAATTGGTAAACTTGGATATCAAAAACGACAAAAGATGACAGAATTTGGAAGAAAAAGGGGTCCTAAGGCAAAAATGAGAGGTATCTTTGGAGTACCTGGTGTAGGATTGCAGGTATGATTTACTTTTTATGTTATTTCTTAATGATTCTCTTATAGGGAGATAATAATATGACTATTGATTAATTGTTTGTCGATTATTTCAGAGACCAATGTCGGACTCATTTTCAAAAGAAGATGAACCAGGCATTGAAAATAGACTTGTATTATGTTCTGCAAAAGATAAATTTGTATTAACTCAAGATATTTGTGTAATGTGTGGTGCAATTGGTACTGACCAGGAGGGGTGTTTAATTGCTTGTGCACAATGTGGTCAATGTTATCACCCTTATTGCGCTAATGTCAAAGTTACTAAAGTAATATTGCAAAAGGGTTGGCGGTGCCTTGATTGTACAGTATGCGAAGGTTGTGGTGAAAGAAACGATGAGGGTCGTTTGATTTTATGTGATGATTGTGATATCAGTTATCATATTTATTGCATGGATCCACCATTGGATTATGTACCACATGGTACATGGAAGTGTAAATGGTGTGCACATTGTCAAACATGTGGTTCAAATGATCCAGGATTTAATAGTAGTTGGCAAAAAAATTATACACAATGTGGTCCTTGTGCATCTCATACTGCCTGCATATCTTGTCAAGAAACTTACAATGAAGGAGACCTAATAATACAGTGCATTCAATGTGAAAGATGGTTACATTGTTCATGTGACTCAATTAAAAGTGAATCAGAAGCTGAGAAATGTGCAGAAGAAGGCTATATTTGTATACTTTGTCGTCCAAGAGATGTTCCACCACCACATCTTTTATGTAATCAACCTAAACCACAACCAAATAAATATTCTCGTTCTCCGCCACCAACATCGCGCAGTCCTGAACTGTACAAACCTTCCCCTCAACAATACTTGGTTGATGGCGTTTATTTATCTGAAGCTGGTATGAATCACATAAAGTCATTGACATCGGAACACCAACAAACAAGAAAGAAAAGAAGAAAAATGCATCCTTTGATTGATAAAGAAGCAGACATAATGGCTACTATAGAATCTGTAGTTGCTGGTGGAAGTTTAGATAATTCTTTAGAAGAAAATGGAGGAAAAATAGATTTAGTAGATGTCAAAGATGAACCTACAGAGGTACTCAAAGAAGGCATGGTATGGACACCACGTGGCGATCAACCTCCACCAGAAGGTTTTAGTATTTATACAACTGAAAATGGCATACCAATTTTAAGACGTAAACGTCAACGTAACTTGCAAAAGTTAGGCATCGGAGGTTTTATTGTCAGACTAAGAGGCACTCGCAAAGATAAAGAAGAAGATGGAGATCCAGAAAAACCATCGGATTCAGCAGTTGGTGTAACCGATGACAAACCGCGCAGAAAACCACAGAGAAGAAAACCAAAGACAAAACTTTCTGAATGTTTTCCTCTCTACATGCAAGAGGCGTTCTTTGGTAAAGATCTTATGGATACAACCAAAGACAAAGAATTGGAAAGCAGCAGTGAATCAGATAGCGAACGAAATATATCTGGAAATGCAGATACTATTCAATTATCTCAAGATGAACTGAAAGCAATGGAACAAGTAAAAGCTAAGCAAGAAAAGGAAGAAGAAAAAGTACCCCCAGAAGCGCCAATAAAACGCGAAGAAATTGTGGACGATGAAGGTAGTGATACAGAAGCCCTTGGTGACATTTTACCTATATCGGGTGACTTACTTGACAGTGATCTTGTTAATACGATAATGAATGAACCAGATGAAGATTTAGCTAAAGCTAGCGAAGCGTTAGATGAATTAGATGATACACCAGGGACAACTAAAGACGAGTTAACAGATATTCTCAGTCCACATTTCAATTTTGAATCAATGGTTCGAGATACAGGTTAGCTATTACACTTTCTCTAATTTCTCTAATAATGGTATAAGTTACTAATTATATCTTCATTAGGTTTACCTAATATGGATAGCAAAGATATTGAAGAAATATTCAAGGGAGTATTAACTGATGAATCTCAAGAGTCTCAAGAATCATCAGTTTTTCCTGTTCAAGCTCAACCTCCACATCCTACATCTTCTACAACACCACTTGTCTCTCCTTCGCCACATCCTGGTAAATTAATTTAATAATTATTTTCCAGAAGAAAGTACAATGTAAATTAATGTATCTTCTATTGTAATAAATATAATTGCAGGTATACAAACAACAATGCCTATACCAAGACCTCAAGTACCTGGTACACTGCCTTCTGTTGGTCAGTCTAACTTAAATTCTCCAATGAGTTTTCCACCGCCGTCTCCATACCATTCGGAGTATAGCAAGTACGTCCACGCTTACATATAACATTATATTGAAAAATAAAGTGATATTTCAATTAATTCTTTTTCTATAATATATAGTAGTCCACAATTTAGTCCAGCTCTCTCTGAATCTGCAAGTCCATGGGTCAATCCTGATGATGAAGGCACTTCATCAGCAGGCAATACTACAATCTCATACAACCAAAGAAGTAATCTTAAAATGGAAGCCGATGAAGCTTTAGGTCCAGGAGCAACTATATCTTCTGTACTTTATGCAAATATTAACCACCCAGAGTGGAAAACAGAATATCCAGGTATTTACTTATTTTATTATTCTTACGAATTAATGTAGCTTTATTTCATATATAATCTCAATTTAAATGACTATATTAATTATATTTAATTATATTATTTAAGCTTGGTCAGAAAGATGTAAACAAATATTGAAGAAATGGCGTGCTCTCTCCAGTGATAAGAAAGCTCCATACCTAACACAGGCACGGGATAATAGAGCTGCAATACGTATGAAAAAGACTCAACAGGTAGGAATAATTTCTAAGTACATATAAAGATAATATAAGTGCTAGAAAAGCGTGAATCTTTATGTGATACGTATCCATTTTCATCTTCAAAGATGTCTTGTGCTAACACACAGGTCAAACTAACAGCTTGTCCTTTGTGTCCAATACCTGTACTTATAACTATTGAGGTTTCATTTACATGATCTATTTAAAGGAGAAACCTGATAATGTATAAATATAAACCCATAACCGACCACAGTATAAAATATTCATAAACAGTTACATTAACTTCTAATACATTTCCTTAAATTATTATATGTTACATGAAAGTATATTTGCTGTTTTATATTGGACATAATATGCGATTGCTTTATCTTTATGTTAATCACTATCATGAATGTTATTACATTACCTAATTACACACATATTAAATATTTTTTACTTACATTCTAAATTTAAATCGCTGATTTTCTAACAATATTCATATTTTCAATCAGATCATATTTCATTAGAAGAGTAGATGCTAATTTGATACTTTAGGAATACTGATTTAAATCTAGCTTATCCCCGATAGCGTTCCCTCAAGTTCCCTAGAATCCTCCGAAGAATTGAATTTTACACTATTGCCTTTGTATGATGTATTTTCGAAATATGTAAGCCATGAATACTATAACGTAAGTGTGTGAACGAGGCACCCCTTGAACCGACAGATATCCAAGGATATACCAAGCACGACCCCAGTCACTGCAACAAGTGCACCTACCATCATCACCAAACCTGTCACAACTATGACATCAGCTCAAGTTTCTCCAGTAGTAGCTATGGCCTCCAACCAAAGGCAGATTGGACTTTTGACCTCAGTGGGCAGTGAAAAGACACAGGAAAAGAATGGAATGACTGTGTCGTCAACAGGAGTGACAGTGTCAACAGTTAGCAGTAATCATCATGCGGAGGTGTGTGCGGTGCAGGGACCGCCGAAGCAGCTAACATCTACTTCCCCAAGTCCTTCTCCAACATCCACGACCCCTTCTTCTTCACCCAGACCCAGTTCTGTGAATTCTATTAATTCCATTAACAGCCTGGCGCACCAAGAGATATCCGGTAGCCAGGCTAGAGTAGCTCAGTCGCCAGCCACGCCTTGCACATCAGCAACTGCTTCTTCTTACTGCAACACGGGCGCCGGTGAAGGGCAGCATCAAACGTCACCATCCCAGCAACGTCCTACACCTGCTCACATTACGATCAGTACCAGTACTATCGCTAACAGTCTGAGCATTTCTCAGGCATCCCCCACTACCAACGTTATGGTGGGGGTAGGTCCTGTTCGCCAATTATCCTCGGTAGACCACCAGATTAGAGTGCTCACCCCATCTGAAATCATGCGCACCCTTCCTTCCCTCAGCCAGGAGCACTACGATCCGCCACCCACTGCAATTATTCACACTGTACCTGTACAGTCCCCGGCTATGGTGAGCCACCTATTCTGTGCCTCTAGTGTCTTGCCTTGTGCCACGTGTCTGATCGACATTTAGTATCCCTTATTCGTTTTTAGAACAGAGACATTAGAATTATTGTGTTATGCAACAGTTCCAATGATACTTCAATTACTCCTACCAAAGATCTGAAACACTCAATATTTAGAATATTCTATATCATTAATGCTTTATTCATATAATAAATAGTGTTTTGGAACATTGGTTTTGTGCAATGAATCATGTGATCTCATGTTGCCTTTGCATCTATTAAGATGTATTACATTTGTTCAATATTATTTAGTTTGATTGATCAGACACTTTTCACTATATATACAAATTTTTTATTAAATATATTATGCTAGACTGTAGTACTGTAAATATTTTATTTTGCATACATTGTTACAATGTAAATGGCATGTTGAAGACAACTGGTAGCACATTTTTGTTTCTTTTTTCCCCACTCCTTATTAGTCCTCGAATATATTATACAAATATATTTTCCTATCTATTTATCCACATAAGTATATTGCTTCTTATGATTTGTGTTACAAATTATTGGTAGATATTTGTGGCAATGTAGTATGTTATATCCCATGTACAACAATGTTATAGTTACTTTTACTAACGTCTATTGCTTTTTATATTTTCAGACGCTTATACTTTTAGTAGTACAAGTTGTTGTACTTATCGTTTTTTATATAATGTTATGATTATATAGTTAATTATTATTTATTAATGTTTAATAACACAACTCTAAATTTTTAGCTACTAACAGTATACTCAAAGTATTACTTATGATTTCAATTACATATGATTTTTTATTATAAACATAACAAATTTTGTTTTTATTTTATTTTTATTTGGTATGCACCAGAAAAAGTAATCTTGTACCATTAATAGTACAAAACATACTTTTCTGTATTCAGTGATGCAGTGCATGAAAACTACTATAAATTAATCTAAGATAAATGTTTATGGGTGTTCTGTGTGGTAAAAAAAAAAAAGACAAAAAAAGATTTTTTTTTATATGAACTTTTGATTAAATAATATTTATTCTAGATGGTGGCTGGTTATTATAACTGTGTTGCACATACAGAAATATTAAGATTTTGCTAATTATATTAATTTAGTAATATGCCATTACTTTATTTGAATGTTAAACTTAAAATACACTTTGGCTGATTGTCAATTTGCCTTATTGTATACATTTTATATTGCTTAAACAAAAACGGATCATTATATTCTTTAATTATTTCATTATAATCAAATAATTGAGCATTTGGGAAATAAAAATTTATTACTACTGCTGAATAATTCATATTATATATTTTAATAATAAGGACTGCAAGGATATAATGATCTTCTGTTATAATTAATTCTTTAGACCTAATAAAATTGTTTTTGGCAGGAACAAGAGAGACTTTCCAATAGAGATCGTTCCAGTAGAGAAGCAGAACAAGAACGTCAATGGAAACAATTACAAGCATTACGACAACAGCAAGCACAGATGCAGCAACAAGTTATTCATGAACAACGTGTGCATGGTCTGTAGTATTAAGTCATATATATTTATATATTGCAATCCAGTTTAACCTTTTTTTAATTTCCGAATATTTTTCCAATAGCTATTACTAGAGTTCATAGACAAATAAGTGAGGATAATACCACTCAAATAAATGCTGACAATCCTACAGGATTAACAACACAACTACAAGTCTCCACATCACAAGTAAAATTTTAATTTATAATTACGAATAATACAAAAATTAATGCATATTTTAATAAATATTACTTATAAATTATTTTATAGGATGGAAATCATATGGGACCACTAGCTTCACCATCTCCCGGATCACGCAATACATTTGCGACTCCTCCTGTAAAAGTTACACGAGGTTTAGCACCTCAAAGCTCTCATCAGGGCATACCACGTTTACCCACCCAGCCTTGTGTAACAATGACGCGTCCAGTTGGGACTGTGGTTAGACCAGGGATGCCAAATAATTTTACACAACCAGCTTCCCCATTTTCTCCACAAGCACCACAATCTCCTCATGATTTCCCACAGTCTCCAGCTTCTTCACAATCCCAGGATCATTTTCAACGTTTTGACAGTACTGAAGCTTATTCTCAAGGTTCTCAAACACCCAGATCACAGATCAGTGGCACACCATCATATTCCACATCCCCAAGAAGCGATGTCTTTTCTCAGCCACCAGGTACACCGCGGCCTATGTTTAATGCTCCTACTACTCGTCCTTCTACTCATGTATATGCACCATCTCGTACACCTGATCCATACAGTAGTCAACCTCCTACCCCTTCTCCTGCTCCAAATTATTCCTCACCAAGGCCAGAATCTCGACAAGATTCGCAACAGCCTGAAGTGTTCAATCAACAACCAGAAGTCAACAGACAATTACGTGATCTTTTACAAAGACAACAGTTTAGTAAAAAAATGGAACCTGTGAGCACTACATGGAATCAAGGTATATTATATAATAGAGGTAAAAGTATTTTGTTTATATTAAAATATAAATTTTACATATATTTGTATTACTTTCTAGACGGTCAAAATAATACGGAAAATAATCAACAACAATTCGATACGAGTCATGTACAAATTCCACAACATTCTCAAGTAGCAAGTAGTACCGGTGAAGGAACTTTCAGGCATCCTCTTCCACCTGGTATTGTTAGACCTAGGATGCCCATTCAACCAAATGTTTTGATAAGAAATCAAATTGGTAATATTTGCGTTTTTCATTTTGTTTCTTATTATATTTGGAAAGTATTTTTTACCTGTTTTATTTTATGGGTGCTACTTAATATGTACTTAGGAATAAATTCAAGACATCCTGTAGCGGCAAATGTAGATGCCAGGATACAGAATATAGATCCGCGAACTAGAATGCTCTTGCAAAGACCACAAGTAACTGCAACAATACCTCAACAGCATTTTCAAGCAAATCAGGCTTTACAAACACGAATGCCAGCAACGAGAAATTCGATTACAGAACCTTATGACGTCTTACAGCAACAAAGGTTTCCAGGTACGTGTATATCTTACATTTTGCTATATTATATCTATACAACTGCATATTACAGTAATAAATGTTATACTTGTAGATCCCAATCAAGGACAAAATATAGCGCAACGTATAGTGCGAACACCTCAGGATAACTTAAATCAAGGAATCAGAATATTAGGTCAAGGGGTTGGTATAAGGGCACCTCTGATACCAACAACGGTTAGTGAAGCTACTGTTAGTCCGTCTGAGCCATCGGAGATTCCTGATAATGTTACTGCAGAACTTGAGAAATTAGAACAAGAGGGAGCACCGATGGTAGAGGTCGAGGGTGTGAGTGCAATATTAGGAGACCTAGGCGATGATGATGATGAACTGCTTGGTAAGTGAAATTTACTCTGCAGTTTTTATTATTTCTTAATTGCTTAATGCAGAGTATAAGCACAAATTAAAATTCTTTATTTTATTACAGCTGAAATGGGAGCAGATTTTAATATTTTGGAATATGCAGATCCCGAATTAGACAACATAACCGGTGGTGAGAAAACAAATATACTTGATTTAGATTTAGAGCAAGTTGAGGTAGAGACGAAGGACGAAAAACAAAAGAAGGAGGTTAAGGACGAGGAGCGAAAATCGACAGAATTAGGCGCAACGAGTGCGGTGCACACTGACATAAGTGACACGTGTACGACAACTACTGTACAAACGCCGACAGAGACGTCTAATGCTCCAACACAAGCACAAACAGTAACACCTATTACCGCAACATCACAAACACCACAGCAACCATCCACGATTATGCCTCAATCACATGCTCAAGCTGTTGTTGTACAACAACAAATGCATCAGCACGTGCAACAAGCTGCGGCAATGGGCAGACCTATGCCTCCAGGAACTCGCTTGCTTTCGACTGATGGAGCAGTTGGCGTTGTTACATCAACTAATACCGTCACAGTCAGTTATCCGTCCACGTTCCCTGGACATCCTCAGAGAATACCACAAACACATATCCAAGGTATGTATGCTATTAAAATGCTTATAATCGTACAATTGTACTAAATTTTAAGTAATTTATCTTAACACTATTTGATTCCAATTAAATTTTGTTATTGCAGTATCGCAACAACAGCGTCTTAGTATGAGAGTAGCAGGTGTACCAAATGTGGCTGGTAGAGTGGTTGCTGTAAATCATATGATTGGTCCTCGTATGCCTCTTGCGCCACCTCCGCCACCACCTCCGCCGCCATATCCTGGACCACCACCCCCTTATCCTGGACCTATACAGGTTGGTATATGTTACACATACTCTTGATGTTCTGATGTTTTTGCATCGCTTTAATTTTGAGTATTTTTTATGCAATTATATCTAATAACACTTTCTTCTAACCACGAGAATACTAAATATCTCGCAATCTGATAAGCAATGATCGCTTCACGGAAAACATAACACGAATTATTAAAAACGTTCTTCACCTTTGTGATAAACATTAAATATAACAATTTTAATTTGTTACATACAAATTCTTGTATCTTTCTGACATCCGTTCCAACTATTTCTATACACAATACATCTTCTATAACACGTCTATTGATATACCGTATATAATTAAATACGAGTCAACATATGACCGCGCAGACATTATGTTTGCAACGTCAGATAATTATTGTTAATTCTGTAATTTTGTAGCATTTTGAATTTTAATGTAATTGTGTACTATAAAGTGTCGAGTTTTGTTAAGTTTAATAACGAGCGAGAACAGGAGATCTCGAATTTGTTATGAACGTAGGACGTAGGCAAGTAATTTATTTAATATAAAAGTATTGGCTGGTAAAATGGTGTTTTCGCCTGGGTGTTTGCAATGCATTGGTGTTGGTGCATGTCTAGATGGGGCTGTGTCCAGGTGGGCGGGGTATGACGCGGCCCCCAATCCATATAGGGCACCCAGTACCGGTGGCGGGTCCACCAATGGCCCCTGTGGTACATACTGGTACGCCCGCAATGACACCTCACCCTCACCGAAGACCCTTGCTTCTGCAGGTGAGCAAGACTTGGGGACTTTACCGCATTCAGCACAAAATATCACCTGCAATGATACTAAGATTAAAAAATTTAGATTATTTTCAATATTTTTGCACTATTTTTGTTTTCCTCCTTATATCACTTGAAAATGAAAATGATACTGTTCCTCAAAGAGTGGATGTTAGTTCATATTAATTTGTAATAGAAGCTTTATTATGCGAAATATTAAAAATTGTGACCAAAATTATATTTTTCTTGTACATTAGAAGCATTTTCTCTCATTTTATTTATTGATAACGATTATCTTTTAATATCGTAAAAAATATTCACTACCTAATGTAATATTTTTCAATTTTCCAATTATATTTATAACATTTTCAATAAAATTATGACTTTATTTTTAAACTCTGTCATATACTATTCTTAAAATGTATTTTGTTTGGGTTAAAATGACTTAACATCCATTAACCAAGAATTAATTATAAATTATCGAATAAATTTGATTTGAAAAAATATATCTCTTATTGTTAAACATATTTTTATTATCACCAAAATATGTTTTGTATGCATTGTACTGACAATAGTAACATAAATTTACCCTATGCAGCAGTAAAATAAATTTTATAAAAATAAAGAATTTATAATTTTTTTATTACAAAATCTAATAAACTAAGAAATCAAAATTATAATAAATTATATTCAAGTTTTTACATAATTATATACACTAGCAATAAAATATGTTGCATTTTTATGTGTGCATGTATGTTTTAAATAGCAAAATATTAGGCTTCATGAAATTATGTGTACTATTGATATTTGCTTAATTACATTTAAGATTTTTTGTTTATATTTTTATATTATAATTACTTCTAAGTAATATTTATATTAATAAGAATTGCTGTAGATGTAAAATAATTGCATGTTTATATTCCTTTTCATTTGTTGGGATAACCAGTGTGCCTTGTTTTAGTATATAATTACTCACTATGTAACATTATAGCATACATATTTAGAATTTCTATAATTACATGTCACTGTTTTAATCCATTGAAACACATATATTTCCATAATATTCCATTAACTGGTTGGAGATTCGATAAGCTGTCAGTAGTGGTGTTCACAGGAACAACCACTATTATTGGAGGAATTGTTGGAACAAGAAAAACGAGAACAAGAAAAGCAACAACAGCAGCAGCAGCAGCAACAGCAGCAACAACAGCAGCAGCAGCAGCAACAACAACAGCAGCAGCAACCGCAGCAAAGTGATAGTACCACGTCCGGAGGACCGCTTCTAAGTGACAGTGAGTTTGAACAATTTAAAGCAGATGTTTTGGGTTCTGCACCCCTTGCTTCTCCTCCACAAGGAATTACATCAGTACCTGGAGGAGTTCCTGTAATTAGGCCACCTTGTACATCAAGCCCACCATCCGCTCCAGGTACCAGTTGGCAGCAGACAGTACCGGATGCGACGAAATTAGCCGCCCAAGTGCCTAGGCAGCCAATTGCAACCCAGACACCACCGGAACGTAAGTATCATGAATATGTACTTGAAGATATGTATAGATAACACGATTTCAATATAAAAAGAATAATACAATTTTTTATCTGTTGCAGCGAGGGTTACCACGTTTAATATCTCTCAGATTCCTGCCCCGCCTACTCCACCGGAGAATATTGTGAATGAACAGGACCGACAAATACAAGTACAGTACGAGCAATGGCTAAACCATCAGCATCAAGTGTTGACACAGCAGTTGAAGTATTACGAAACTGAGGTACAAAAGCTGCGTAAAATACGAAAAGTAAGGATAGAATGTTTTTATGTTGCGGCGTTTTCGTTTTTGTAGCACTTTAAATGATGCAGACATGCTACAGTTAAACTATCCTGATTTTACAGTCCCTCAATAGCAAACAGCGACAGTTACGAAAGTCCGGGAATGAATTGGCAGAGAATGACGCGGCCGAACTACAACGCATTTCCAGTGAGCAAGCGATATTACAGAAGCATCTAGATGCAAGTCGCAAGCAAACTCGACAACATGGCATGCTGATACAGGAGTACCAGAGTAAACAGCAACAAAGGCAACCTCAACAACAAAGCAGTGAACCATGTTCACCTTTGATGTCTCCTTCCCAACATTCACCAATGCATAGCCCTGCTGCGCTCGTTTCTCAAAGCCCAGGTCCTGGGAACGTCCCAACAAATATGATTCAGCATTCACCGGCAACTCCTATCATCCAACATAGCCCTAATACACCCTTATTACAACACAGTCCTGGTAATCCACAGTCGGGGAATCCAGGAACGATGTCGCCTCATAATATGCAACAATCTCCTAGGATTGGTACTCCACATTCACAAAATGAAGAAAGCCCTTTTAGTCCTGGCGCTATGCCATCACCAGGAATGTGTGGTCCCTCAGCAACTCGTATGACATCTCCGCAGCATCGTGCGATTATCAGTGGTAGACTTGCAACTAGTCCAGGTGCTTTTACTCCAGATACACGAAATACGCAACAAATCATCGGAGATCAGGGAGTTAGAGTTCATGGTCTCTCTCAACGTTTTGTCCGTCCGCCAGCCGTCGAACCTGGTCAAAGGCCAAGGATGCAACTGCAAGGAGGAATTGTGTATGGACAACGTTCTCCACTTGGAAGTCCACAACCCAATCAGCAATCTTTGATGAATCAGCAACATCAACAGATGCTTCAAAGACAACAGATTATTCAACAACAACATGAAACTACTACAATTCTTCAAGATGGGCAAAATGCGATTACTCAACGTACATTGCAAATGGCGCAACAGAGACAACAATTGTTGCAACAACAACAACAACAGCAAATAGTTCAACAGCAGAGACAACAATTTCTACAAATGCAGCAACAGCAGCAGCAGCAACAACAACATACGATGCAAAAACCACCAAGTTCTCCAATGGTATCTCAACCTGCTAACTCTCCAAGTCCTCAACTTCATCAACAAATACAACAGAATTATGGGCAACCTCCAAATTCTCCCATGCCTCGTAGCCCCATGGTTCAACAAACTATGGGATCACCTATGTTACAGCAACAACTGAGTCAAACTTCACAACCTCCTAGTCCTATGAACACAAGAATTCATTCACATCCACCTAATTCACCAATGATATCGCAATACCAACCACCAAGTCCGATGTCACGAAATCATCCTTCAACTTCTCCCATGCTTCAACATCAATTAAATAATGCGCATCATCCTCCAACGTCTCAACCACCCAGTTCGCCGATGCCACGTAGTCCTATGGTTGGTGGTTCACCCATGCAAATGCAAAGAAGACAATCTACTGGAAATAGTCCAGCAATGCCAGATCGACCGCAAAGTGTAGAAAATCCAGGAACACCAAGAACACCACATACTCCGCATACACCGCATACACCACATGGCTCTTACACGGCTCAAACTTCAAGTAATCACACAGTACCAAGCGATCAGCAACAACAATTGCAACAATCACATCAACATCAACAGCCATCTATTCCGCAGGAACAGACATCTACAACAGATCATGCGAGTAGAGGTGGAGGAAACCCACACAATCCATTAAATCCGTTGCCTTTTGGACGATTTGGATATATTAAGCTTGGATTAAGAGGTGGATCTCCCATGTGGTCTACAAAAGCAGAAACTAGCAAAGGAAAAACCTCTGAATCACATCTTTTAAATATGGATGAAAAACCAAATACATCTGTAGTTGTTCATAGGAAAACTGGCATACCACAATCAAAGATTAATTCTTTGGTATGTGCAGACTATAACGATTTTGACGATGACTCTCATACACCGCCACAAACTCCACCAACGAGTATAGAAATGAAGCAAACCACTTCATTGTCTGACAATGGGCCTTTAACATTAGGTAGCCCTAGCAACAAAATGGAACCGATACCTGACACCACTGATTATGACGACGATAAAACTATTGTGAATACGGAAGTGACTTTGAGTTCAACGGCACAACGAGATAGTGATGATATTACTGTTATAGACCAATTCGGAGATTCAGAACTCGATGTAATATCAGGGACACTAGAAGGTGATATCCAAGAGGAGTACGTACTTTTCGAATCCGGAATGGTCGTGGACTTATCAGCAGATAGCAATGATTCTCTTTGCCATGCTTTAGTTAATGAAAGTAGTCAAGGACATGATTTAGTGCAAATATTAGAAATTGAAAATCCCGAATCTCAAACGGATGAACCAATGTTAAGCGACGAAGATTTAGTGCCCACCCATACGAGAAATAAAAGAGGGCTGAGATTGGACATAGTAAGGACTCTACAATCTGGGAAGAGGCTAGTGGCGGTTACAGATACTCCAGAATCACCTGACCAGGAAGAACTTCGTGTAGACCCATCACCTGGATCTTATATGGACCAATCGCCAGAGCAAGACCTCATGATGTCTTTTGTTAGCGAATCCGAAGTAGTAATTATTGATCCTAGTACAAAATCACCTGAAGATAATTTGTCCAAAGAATCATGTGCGGAAGAAATCGAAAAAACAGATACCATTAGTGTTTCTGAAGCATCGAGAGAAAATACTGTCTCCGAAAATACTAGTGAAGATCAATCAAAAACACAAAAAGAATCAAAGCCAAACAGAAGTCCCACATCATTCATGTTTTCTGACAAAGTTCTTTACAATCAAATTCCACCATCAAGTATACATCACTCTAACATTAGTGTCTCATCTACATGCAGATCCACTGTTTCATTGTCAACTTCTACAAGTACAAGTATTAGTACTGATAATGCTAATACTGTTACCACGTCCAGCAGTATATTGGTAGCGACAGATACAGCTAATAAGTCAACTCCGATTTTTACAACCTTAAGTATAACGAAGGAGACGGTATCACCTTCTTTCAATAATCAAAAACAATTACCATCAACAATGGCGAGTATCGTGGCGGATGCAAAAATTGCTGCTAAACTTAGTCAAACAGCTTTAGAAAATATTGTAGTTAGCTCGCAGCAAAGTGTGGTGAAAACAGAATCGTTATCCAAAATCAGTTCCCCAAATATGGAAATTCCTAAACCTCAAGTTACATGTTCGGAAAGAACTGTGTCGTCAGTGCCTAATGTACAAAATGAATTTACAAGTTTTGTGCAAAATACCACCACAAATACAATAGACACAAGTAATCCTGCAAAATTGGTTTTAAGCGTGCAGCCAACATCTGTTACACTGTCAACACCAAAAATGTCCATACCTGATCTTCCTAAGAAAGAGAATGGAAATAACTCGATTACTTTGGCAAAAGAAAATCAATTAGAAATTTTAGATAAAAGTGTGAAAGTAAAAAATGACAAAGATGAAGCTGATCATGCAACAAAGAAGACAGAGGAATCTAGTATGGATACTTTAAGTGGAAGCATTGCCACAAGCATAGCTGCAAATCAAGAACTTACTTCATCTGATGATAAAAAAAATGATCCTTTGAACACTACAGATGAATTGGAGAGTATGCTCGAAGCAATTCATAATCCTGCAGAAAACACTATAAGTAGAGAGAATTCTCATATAGAGAGCAAGACAGATACTGCTTCTTCATTGAAAAGGATATCACCAGTTACAGATGACTTATCATTGGTAAATATTTTAGAAAATGATTCAGAACCAGTCGAAAATGAAAATAAAGAAGAAAATTTGACCACCACTGAAGTTCAAAGAATAAACATTAAATCGAAAGAAATGGAAACCAGTGTTTCAGAGAATACTAATTTAAATATTGCTCAGAAAGAAAAAAAACACAATGAATTGTGTACAGAAATTGAAACCAGTAAATCTTATGTACAGCATTGCCTCAATGAAGAAAAAAGTATAATGGATGAGTCATCTGATGATATATTAGACATGCTACATAACATCATATCCTCTAAACCAGAAATGGCTAACAGTGAAATTCTTCAAGATGATAGATCTAGAAAATCAAGTATGATGTATGAATTACCAACTCCTTTGGATACCTTGCCTCTGAATATTCTCCAAGATTCTTTAATGGATCTGGAGCAAGAACATTCAGACAATGAACATCTTCTGTCAAATGAGAATAAAGGATCAAAGGTACAGAAAACAAGTTCACCTCCTGTGGAACCTGCACCTAAGAAGAGCTCGCCAATCCCACATCAGAGTGCTCCTTTGGTTGTGAGTACCATAGCGCAGTTGCAGAAATGCACAACGACAGTACCTCATCTTTCTCCACTGTCAAAACCTACAGAACTTACGTCGAATGTTGCCAATGTGTCGCATCAGCTAAGAACATTACTTTCGTCTCTACAGACAAATCATTCACAAAATTGTACAGCTGTAAATCAAACCGCTATCGTTACTATGGTGTCCTCAGCGATCTCAGGGCCAAAAGTAGGGAACATACTGTCTACAACCAGCACATCCTCGCCAAACTCTGTAAATAATCTTCATAACAGCACCAATGTACGACTACAGACCTCTATAGTCACTTCTCATTCTGCAATTACTACCAAACCTGAACTAGAAACTACGACGACTAGTTATACCCCGCATACAAAGGAAAGTACAAATTCTACAGTAAGTGTTGTTTCTACTTTGTCTAAGGTTACCCCTTCAGAACCATTTTTACGAGTCACTTCCAGCGGAGTACAGTCACAAGCTAGTAGTAGTAGTTTGTCCCTACAAACGTCATCTGTGATCACCTCTAGGCCGCCAACAAATTCAGGTATTTCAATTACGTCAAATGCAATGTTAAATGCGATGTTAGCTGGTACAAATTCTGCCAAACCTTCGATCGCTGGTCACCGAACGAACACTGCTCCCACGCAAGCAAGTAATCTGTTGAGCTCAGTGATGGCGACTTCTGTGCAACGAACACAAAGTCTCCAGGCAATCTTACAAGTAAGTTCAGGCTGTTCTTCGGCACCTTCTCGCGTGGTCGTAAATGCCACGTCGACGACTGTTACAACGTCCATGCAGTGCGTTAGAACTATCGTACCTCCTATAGTCACTGCAAGTACCAACAGCATTAACGTCACTACCAGCATACTTCAGTCAACTTTGTCTCAAACACCTACTCTTTTGCATTGTCAACCTCAGTGCAAGTCAATCAGTCATTTGCTGGTGGATAGTAAAACTAGTGACCTTGAAAAACTGGCGCAGAGTACACCGTCGAAGAAGGAGACAGAAGAATCTAACTGCAAACTGCAATCGGCACTTGAAAAGCCATCAACTACTAGGTCCGAATTGGAGTTAACCAAAAGCACTACTGGTTCGCATAGAATGGAGGAGTCCCAGAATGTATTGTTGAAACAATTGCTACAGAATACTGCATGTGCAACGACCACCTTGTGCTCAGGTTCTTCACAAGGTCCCAGTTTACCTCTGGTACCATCTCTGGAAGCGCAATTAGCAAGACCAGTGCCACCCACTCCATTCTCTGTTTTACCACCGCTATTGAATGAAATACCAGCACCTAAGACCACCAGTAATAAGCAAGTACTGAACAGGGAAACATCATTCTTGTCACAATCAGTGACACCCCTAAAGGTGCAAAGTCCACCGACCAAAGAAGAGCCACCGAAACCACCTCCGCCATTGACAACCTCTGCACCAGTTTTATCTCAACAACGTATAACTGAAACATTTCCAAAACAACAAATAACTACGCAACCCACCAAAACTACCCCTGTTTTGACTCAAGCGAACCAACAACCAACAGTGACGGTAACTAAGCAAGTACCACCGCCGCTTACAACAAAAGCTTCGGAAACAACAGCCCCCATAAAGCAAGAACCACCAAGCATTATTACACAACCATCAGCCAAGCCAGTGAGTGATACCGTTGTTAATAATACTGTTCCGATTCAACAACAGTGTGTATCAACTCCTATAACTGTGTCACGAGTGGTACAACAAACTAAACCGGTAATTACTACAATGGCTTGTAAAAATATTCAGTCCACGACGCAGGTATCGAGTACTGTCCAAGCGACTCAACAACCGTTGACAACTGTCACGACCGCGCAGCCACCACAGCAAACACAAGCACAGACTCAACCCCAGATACCAGTTACCCCGAAACCCATTGTCTCAACCCAGCAACAACCCCCACACGCAAACACAATACCGCCATCAGTGCCTCATACGGTGTCTCACACGGTGGGCCACCAAGCCCAGGCGTCACAGGGTGCAAATGCACAACACACAGTGCCTTTAGTGGAAGTCAAAAAGGAAGTTCTTGATGAAGTTCTATCTAGCGGTACACCTACCCAATTAACCGATACCAAAGACTTTCTTACTGCCAAAGAGGAGCTTATCGATGGACCGATTGACGACAAAACTGGTATGCAATATACGTGTAGCAATGTATAAGTAAAAAACTTAAAATATAAATTAGAAATTTAAGATATATATTTTGTTCGTTCTACATACGTGTTTAATATAGATTGATGTAATTTTAGTATTAATACTGTTATGCAAGAAAGTTTTAAAGAATTAGTTCTCTCTTTAATAATTCTTCTGAAAAGTGCAAGTTCAACAAATTTTTAAATAATGTTAGTATAATGAGTATCTTCAATAATCTTTTATTTTTCTATACAAATGAAATCATAATTAACTTAAACGAATATACTGTTTTCCTCGCAGATCTCAAGAAATTGAAAAGGCGACAATATCAACAGAAACGAAAGCAAAGCCAGGGGAAGGACGCCACGGCAGCACCTCAGAAAAAGCGTGCTAGGAAAGTGTCCCGTTTAGATGAGGATTATGACACGTTCATTGACAATTTAATGGCACAATTGCGGCAACTTCAGCCAATGGCAGTATTAGAACCACTTCTAGGCAGAAATTACGGCGTGTGTCCTATCTTTGGTTCGGGAGACCTGACAAAAATCGGTAGTCAGAAGGATTACAACACCAGAACAGGAGACTTAGTTGGTTCATACGGATCTGCTACATTACCGGGTGTATCTGATCACTACAACACTCAACCATTCGGTGAATTGGAACCCTTACCACCGCAACAACCTGTTTCTACGCAGAGGGGATTTTACGATCAAGAATTTCCACCTCTTAAATTGGACGATTGTAAGCGTTTATATCAAATTGAAAGAAAAAATAGACCTAGAAACTTATAACAATTAACGAGTCTTCTGAGCCCATTCAATTTCTAATTTACTGTGATTTATCTTACTGCGGATGTAAAAAAGAGTAATCGATACTAATATGAATATTGAATTTTTAGCCGACGATAAAAAGGAGAATTCCCTGTCAATGAACCGCGATGTCGATTCCCCCGACACGATAGTTAGTTCATCATCACCCGAATGTGTTATTCCGGAATTTATACACCGGTTCCCAGGTTTGAGGTTGATCGAAGAAGAATCGGATGAGGAATCGGATTGGCTGAAACGAGTGTCGCCCGTTATACCTTTAATCTCTCCGATACCAATTAGGTTAAAACCGACGTACGTTGGCAAAGACATCGCCAAACAGGATAAAGAAAATTTAGGCATACCACGGTACGCAATGTATGATTTATATATTTTCATTCATTTGTATATTGCTTGAGAATATTTTTATTAATATTTATTATTTATATAGGCTTGGAAAATCACCTCCAATACCTTTAAGAGATGGCAACGTAACAGTTACATTGACTTTAAATAGTCAGGCTGCGGACGACATAATGGGAGTACTTAAAGATTTGGCTAATATCTTAAACATAGCTCCTCCCACTGGTTACCAGATAGTAGAACGTACTACTACTCCCCCTAGTCAGAAATTAGGTCTTTATAGAATCAAGGGAAAAGATGGTAAAGAGGGAGGTGTGTATTATTTTAATGCAATAAAAATTACTAAGAAAAATTTTTATTTATTTATTTATTTATTTATTTATTTGTTGTAAGTGGGTGGGTGTTATCATAATGCATGTCTAAATTTTCAGCTCCAATTGATATACAAAGTATTTTGAACGGCGCCGCCAAATTCTGTCGTCATTGTGATGTTGTGATATTGAATAGCTTAATAAGAAAGAAAGTATCCGATTTACCATTCTTAAGTAAGGAAGAAGCTGAGCCCGGCGATGAGTTATGTTTTTGTTCAGCAGCCTGTTACATGCAGTTTGCCCTTATGCATAGAACACCTTCGAATACCCAAGATAAGGTACCTGTGTTACATGTTAAATTATTATAATCTATTTAGTCAAATCATTCAAATTATTTAACAATATAAATGCAAGTTTATGGATAATGATCTAATATATTTTTCATTAGGCTGCAACTATAGTAGACCATCTATGTCATAATAAAATAGATACTAAGGTATTGGATGATGATTTTAAAAAAGGGAAAAAATATGTGGTCAAACAGCCAGTCGATCATGTTGAAAGTATGGAAGTCGAACAGACACAGAAGGAATCCGAAATTAAGATAAAAACGGAGAAGGAAGATCAGGATATATCCGATACGAAAGAAGAAATAATAGAAGAGAAACGACCAAAGAAACATTCGGTCGTGGAAGAATTGACAACAGAATCGACTGAGCCACAACCACCTACAAAAGTATGGAGAGGTTTACGGTACAAAACGTGGTCTATTGGTTTAATGCAACCTCCAACGAAGTACAAAAAACCAACCGATAAGGAAATCACGGAGGTACGAATAGAGATATTTAAAAATAAAAATTTAAACATGCTTTTTAGTGTAATATAAAATAAAGATATATATTTATCTATATGAATAAAATATTATTCTTTCTTATAGATGCTTTTCCGTATGGGGGTAACTGTAGTACCTGCTAAAGCAGAAGATAGTCGACGATGCATGTTTTGTCACAGTCAAGGTGATGGTACAGCCGATGGTCCCGCTAGATTACTTAATTTTGACGTCGACAAATGGGTGCATTTGAATTGTGCCCTTTGGTCGGAAAATGTGTATGAAACTGTAAATGGTGCCTTGATGAATCTCGATACCGCTTTGCAACATAGTCTTGTATTAAATTGTATTGTTTGCGAGAAACCGGGAGCTACCGTAAAATGTTTTAAAATGCGCTGCACCAACGTGTACCACCTTGGCTGCGCTGTTAAAGATGGCTGTGTTTTTTATAAGAATAAGGTAAAAATAGTCGCACAAGTATAAATTTTATACCACTTTTGAAAAAAGCATAAAGTTCACGATTATTGAATATTATTTTTAGAGTACCTATTGCTCTCAGCATGTGCAAAAGAACGAAAAAGATAATGAACTGACCACGCTTTCCGTGTATAGAAGAGTGTACGTTAATCGTGACGAAAATAGACAAGTCGCTGCTGTGATGCATCATTCGGAACACAATCACTTGCTGAGAGTTGGAAGTCTGATATTTTTAAGCGTCGGACAGTTACTTCCACACCAGCTCGCCAACTTCCACACACCAAATTACATATACCCTGTCGGATACAAGATCGTTAGATTTTATTGGAGTATGAGACGGCCGAACAAACGCTGCCGATATGTGTGTTCCATCCACGACGTTTCTGGTCGACCTGAATTTCGCGTCCTAGTGCAAGAACCTTTACAAGAAGATGTTGAGTTGCGGGACGCTACCCCTCGCGCTGTTTGGAGCAGAATCCTTGAACCTCTCGCTGAACTGCGAAGATCCACGAACAGTGTCCAATTATTTCCGCGTTATGTTTCCGGCGAGGATCTCTTCGGACTGACCGAACCAGCGGTCGTCCGTGTTCTTGAAAGTCTTCCAGGCATTGAAACTCTCACCGATTACAGATTTAAATACGGCCGAAATCCCTTGTTAGAATTACCATTAGCAATCAATCCTACCGGCAGCGCGAGAACGGAAGCACGTTTACGAAATCAGCTTCCTTGGAAGAGGCCGCACACGCAACGCACAGGCTCTTCGGCCCGAGCAGCCTTCGTTCCGACCGCAACAGTCGCAGGCGAAGTGGCGTGCCCCTATTCAAAGCAATTTGTTCATTCTAAAAGTTCCCAGTACAAAAAAATGAAGCAAGAATGGAGGAACAATGTATATCTGGCACGCTCGAAAATTCAAGGCCTGGGATTATATGCTGCACGTGATCTGGAGAAACACACAATGGTCATTGAGTACATTGGGGAAATTATTCGTACTGAATTGGCCGAAACCAGAGAAAAGCAGTATGAAGCGAGGGTACGTTTCTATTCCGTTTATAATTGTATATATTCATTAAAAAAACACTATACTAAACAATGTAAAATGAATCGAGACATCTTTAGCGTTTCTTCAACTGTTTTTCTAGTGTATGTTACACTTTATCCGATTCCATATGTATATTATATAGAAATGGGTTAAAGATACAGAATTGACTTGTCGATGTCTACATTACTATATCCCTTCATAATTTGCATTGAATGGTAGAAGGAATTTTAGAAACATACTTATTACAGAATCGTGGTATTTATATGTTTCGCTTGGACGAAGAAAGAGTGGTCGATGCAACGTTATGTGGAGGTCTCGCAAGGTATATCAATCACTCTTGTAACCCGAATTGTGTCGCTGAAATCGTTGAGGTCGAACGTGATCTTAGAATCATAATCTTTGCAAAGCGAAGAATCTCACGTGGCGAGGAGGTACGTAATCTTTTGATTTGATACATTATCACATCGCGATTAACGTTAAAAAAATGTATGTAACATTATCTTTTATAGCTGGCATATGATTACAAATTCGATATTGAAGATGACCAGCACAAGATAGCATGCGCATGTGGCGCGCCTAACTGCCGCAAGTGGATGAACTAAAGAGCTCGATCCACCGTTGTTATTGTTACTACGTTATTGGGTAGGTTTTACATGAAGAAAAAATTATATATATATAAATATATATATAATAGACACATTATTTAATTTGTAAAGTGCCATTGCAGTTTGACTAATTGATTCATAGTGAAGTTGGTGCTATGCCATCACAACATTCCTCCAAAGTTGTACAATATTAGTTTTACTTTACAAAACATAGAAACATTGATCGCTTGTATATTACGGACACTCTTTAAGGACACGACACAGAGTAATTGAAAAAAAAAAATAAATTTTATGGGTCGTGTGTATGTATACAGGAAGTTTGTATCTTTGTATGTTGAGTAGAGTCAACGTTTAGTTGACCGATATTGTAATATAAATCGTTTATTAATTATTATTGCATATACATTGCACTGTATCTGTACATAAGTAGAGGTCCATGTTATTTTGAATCACCAGATGAATTATGTAAAGTAACAGTATCTAATTTAGAATTATATACAATTATAACTATTTCATTATATGATAATAAATCCGTACAAAATCTACTGATCTATTTCGTTTTTGTAAATACCTTTTTTTGTGTAATTCGATCGATTAGTATTTAGTTGAGAAATTATATTTATCGTCCAATTTCAAGTCTTTTACCGTGATAAATATTAGCTTCAAAGTTGCAAGAATATTTATGCTTTTCAATGAATCATTGTTACGGTGCAAAAGATACTTCTAAATTCACCAAAAATTACATCAAAGAGAACATTGCTTCTACTGATACATAATTTTTCCTTCTTTAAACAATTTATATATCAATACTAAATTTATATATAAATTGTGTATATATCTTTACAGAAATTACAAAGACCATTTACAAATACTTAATACTATAATGTAATGCAATCACATAATGTAAAAAACAGTCAAATTTATTCTTTACAACTATTGTATGTATATGTATTAAAAATCAATTTTTTAATAGTCCATTTCATATAAAATTTTGACTTTAATGTTTTATTTATCACGTAATAAAAGAAATATTTTAAAAAATTGTATATCGCATTTAATTCATTTAATTTATAACAGAAAGAGGTATACAGATAAAATAGTTTACAGGGAGAGGAATAAAAAATAATGCAAAATGAGAGCAGATCATGTTCACAATTTTATTTTCGTAACTGTAAAATAATATTTACAAAGGAATATATATTGCATGTACAGAAAAGTACACAGTCGTTTTTCAAATTTCGGTTAGTATAAGAAAGGAAATACAATAAAACTAAAATAATATGTACAATGAGTATTCAATTGTAAGTATGTGTCACGATTAGTTTATACAGAGCAAATATGTCTGTGACGAAATCTTCAAAGAATTTAATTGTGCAATTGAATTAAAAAAAAGGGGGGTGGGAACGAAAGAAACTGAATGAATAAAGAAAAACTGGTAGAACTTCGATAAGCTTTCGATATTTGTAAATGTAACACGAGCAATTGTATAAACACTTGGAAATAAATCAGATAGGAAGAGAGCAATACGATTACGCAGTATGCAAAAATATGCAATAATATACAAAAAAGCGAGTAATGATGTAATCGGTGAAATATATACGAACGTAAATGCGAAGAAGAAATACATTGTAAGAAAAATGTATTTTAAATGCGATTCTTTGGCATTTATGCACGATACAATTGTAAGGCGGTCTAAACGTTACAACACCGTGTGATCTATGTACAATTTAAAAAAGTAACTATCACCTTAAGCGTAAAAGTAAGTATGAAGACAAGGTACGACGCTTACAAAAAACCATTGTGTATACTATATTGATGATTCAGACAGCAATATTGCGTTTGTAAAGTTCGCTATATATAAAAACCAGCTTTTCGCAGATTTTGTAAATTCATACGTGATCGGTATACTATGCGACTAAACGTATACTCTGATTGTATATTGTATATTCTTTCTAACGTGATGATTAATCTAGCGAGGATTTTTCGAGTATTTTATCTAGCAAAAAAAGAATAATAAAAAAAAAAGAGAAAGCTTTATCATGTTGAGCGATATCTTTTGCTTTTAAAATAGTACAATTGTAATGGCGACCCATGCAACTTGTCCTCAACTTCACGTGTTTATTAAATTTCGTAGTTGATAGTGTATTTATGTAAAAATGTCTTACTCGGTAATTCCTTAACATAATGTTAAGTTTCCTCGATCGATGTAACTAGTGATTCTCAAAAGTAGCTTATCATTTAGAATTTTTTTCACAACACCTTTTCTTTTCAGCTGATCTTTTGTAAAAAGATCAATTAGAAAATCTTTGTTAGGTAATACTTAATCGAGGTGACATTAGTACCAGTTTGTAATTAAATCTTGAGGCATGTCTTAATTTTAAAAATTAAGTTGTAATAAACTTGTTTGATGATAATCTGACAGTGAGTCTGTTTTTCCAGGGAGTTTCATTCAAATAAAGTATTTTACCCTTCAACGCGATCAAAATAAAAATATTTCATAATTCAAATTTCATTCTTTAATGAAGTCTGCAATAATGGAAAATAATTTTAAGAAATTTTTTAACACATTTTTCAATATTACATTATTTCAGATCTGACATTAGTTTTACTTGACAATGTTTTTTGGTGCAAAATATAGTTTCTTCTTTCTCGGTGAAAGAAAATATTTACTAACGTAGTAAACAAAAACAAATACGTTTTGTTATTAACAAATTTTCATTAAAAAGTTGAAAGAAAAACTTAAATATTACTTCTGTGCACGTTGAAACAGTTTTGATGATGGTCTGCTGTCTTGATTCACGATGACACTGGCTCAATCCTGTTGCATGCAATAAATTAACAGAATCATTAAATAAATATCAAATAATGTATATAGTACAAGTGAAGTTCTAGCATATATATTTAATGAAGTTAAAAATAATAAAAATTTAAATTAATGATATAAGTGAAGAGGAATTGTACCATTAAATATTAAGTTTTGTACATTAATATAAAATCTATAGCCAATATGATTAACTTGATTTATTTTTAAATTTGCTCTTGAAAAATTTAAATCTATATTATTTTATTAAATTCAGTATTAAATTAATAAAATAATTTGAAATTAATAGATAAACTCCTTTTCATTTTTTTATTAACTGTAACTACTAATAGAATTTTCAAGTTAGACATTTATTTAGAAAATTTAGAAGCTAATTCATTTGATTTCTGAATACTTTATACATTTTGATTCATTGAAAATATTACATATATAAAATGAAATATTATTAGTTGTCAATAAAATTACTTTTCTAACATAAGTTTCACAAAGTTCGTATATAGGTAGTTGCAATTTTATTAATTTCATGCTTGGTGGTGCAATTTCATAACAAATAAATACATGCTGACATTCAAACAAAGTATTATAAAATACACTAATTGTAAAGAGTTTATAATTCATGCAATTCTAATAATTGCAAATAATAATATTATTGGTTCCATAATACACAATGTTGTTCATAATAATAACATAAGCATATACTACAGAAATAATAATACTACATGCACTGTCATTATTTTTTTTACAAATTTGACAAACAAAAAAAATAAGATACTTAATGTAACAATAATATTAGAAGTACAATTAATTTTTGGCATGCTGAAAATACTACAACATGCAGAATAAGAATAAATACTGTGCATTGTCAATAAAAGATATAGATGCATACATAATATGTACATGCATCATATTAGCAAAGTACCTACTGGTATTTGAAACTCTGGGATTTATATATGAAAGTTGTGAATCTATATAATTTGGAGACTGTTTATCTTTATTGCCATTAGCTTTATATAGTTTATAATAATCGTTATATTATCCACATATAATACAGTTTTATGTACAAGGGGTCTAGTGTACACTATGATTAGATGTAGTGAACGACTTCTCGAAAACGATACAAAAGAGTGGTATTTAATAAATAGTAAACAGATAATCAAAGCGACTATCTACAATCAAAATACAAAAGTAACGAAATAGAGTTTACTGATTTATGCTTAAGAATTAATGTATTCATAAATACTGAGCAGCAACATGATTTACAGGAACCATATCTAAAAATGCTAATTCGACTAGTTAATGAACAGATTCATTTTGGTGTTCTCTAAGAAGAGAGAAATTTCACTGGAATGCTTGCAATTCATGATACAAACATTATACTAAAAACTGCTAGCTAAACTTTGTTCAACATAATCATTCAAAACCATGTATTTTGATTTCTCTTTTTTTCCTAACTGAGTCATAAGAAAGTAATAGTTCCTAATACTGCTTTTCCAAGAGTATAGAGTATCGCTTGATTAAATTCAGAATACTGGCATAAAATAGTTACGTAACACATATAAGTGCCTTTTCTTTCAGGACCTACGTCCTTTCCTCAACTTTTGATCTCTTAATGATAGTTAGTAATAAGTAATTATAAGCAGTGTCGTTAATAATGTACAAATAATTTAAAACAAATGCTAAAATAAATACTTCGGTTATTGTAATCCATTAATAATAAGTATTACCAGAGTTGCAAACTATTAAAACATAATGAACTTTTATTCTATTAATAGAAACCTATTACTGCTCCTAAAATCATTAGAATACTTGAAAAAGCACACAGTCTGTTACGTAATACTTTTTATGCAAGAACGATCGTGTGTATACATATACATATATTTGTATATATGTACACAGTATATGCATACATGTATATATATACGTTACTGGATAGCTTGCATTTAAAAAGGCTAGAATAATTTCGATAATTTGCTACTTGTTATGCACCTAAACGTAAAGTCGGAACAGTGATTAGAATAAGGTGAGGCCCTACGGTAGTCCTTATTTGCGATATTTTCAATTAATATCGAGAAACGAAAGATTCGATTTCTCTGATGATTTTTCTCCTTTCTTCCACCGTTTCTATCATCATTGTCGTTAACTAAACTACCGGAATGACGTTGTTCCTTTCGTATCAACCAATTTACCAAAAATGCAAAAAGCAACAACGCGATCACAGAAAAAACATGTGCACGATGATTCGATGACTTTCCTCGTGAGGATCAATACATGCTCAAATCGATCGCAAATCACATGGAAAAATCGGGGACGCGGATGAAATGGAATACAGAGATACGAATTATTCGTGATAAATACACCAAATACAAAAATATATCGTACATTTACGCGTGTAAAATGGCTGATACATAATTTCGTCGCAACTGAACAGCTTCGAATCGGAATACGCGCCTAATTAATTAATTTTTTTATCCAGTCTTAAATTTCGTAACACATCGCCATTTTTAAATCTCTTCCAGCGTAATCGCCTTCGTTGCAACTAACAATGAAACTGAAACATAGCGTAACGACGCCGTTCAACTTCCTTTATCAGGCTCTTGTATTCATTTTTATCTTTTTACCCCTTTCATTCCCAACGAAACGTATCTTCGATTTATTTCGATTAGTCTCGTTTATAGAAAATAAATACATCTATTCAACGTTTAAATAAATAGTCAACAACGTGTGCAGAGTACCTTGGAATTTTACGAAATATCACTCCCACCCTATCTTCGACATTAATGATCTATAAAAATTCTGTTTACGCGAGACATACCACTTCGCTGATAGAAAGGTCTAAGTCCTTAGATAATAAATAAAAAACAATGGAAGTCGCGGTTGATGATGGAAATATATCGATAACAGTCTGTTGTTACATTCTACGGAGAGTAAGTAGCACACAAAACCAAAAAGGAACAAAAAATATATATATATAAAAAGAACAAAAAAGAAATGCACCCACATAACGATTATCCTTTGTGAAAATTGTTTGAAACAGCAAGAAAAGCGGGCATTACTTTACGCCACCTGTTACCCGATACAACTAGTTAAATATTTGTTATAAAATTGTTAGCAGCGAACTGAAAGCGGAAAGCATGAGGAGATGCTCGTGTAAGATACTGTTTTCTTTTTTCGTTCGAAGACAGACACAGTTCGGTATAGTAACAAGGTACCGTACAATTGTTTCCTCGGTGACATAATTCTAGAGTTTCGTTTAGGTCACTTCTGTACAATTATGCCTTTTGATACAGAAAAATTTGTTCAAATTTCAGGATACATTTTAAAACGATACACATAGTTTCGTGTCTTTTATACAGATAGTCTTGAAGCCAAATTGTTCAAACTGATGATGGTTACAATTATGCCCAATTCTTTCAAGATATAGTTGAACGTTCCAACACTGTGTCCGTTTTCTTCCTTTCATACTCTTGGCCATTGAAATATTGTTCTATACGTAACTGGTCTTATCTTCATTCAAGGCACGAGTCTTGAATCGGGCCTTGCCAAGTCTTTGTCAACGCTTTAACAATCTACTTGGGTATAATTAGTGAACGATTTACACTATTACTGAGTTAGGTGCGAACCCTGACCCAATCACCAGTTTGTTAACCGGCTTCGGATAAGCGCTTAGAACAGCAGCTTTCTATGTTCAAATTGTGAAAGCTGAACGATGGAATATGATACTCGAGCAATGAATTTAAGTCTTTTTTCTTTTTTCTTCTTTTTTTTTTTCAAAGAAAAAGGTAAATGAATATCAAATAAAAGTAATAAGAAGAAAATGACATAACAAAAAGAATAAAAATCGCTGCTGTAGTAAAGCGCCGTACGAATGCTAGCACTACCGGTTTTTTCTTTTAATGGCCGCTGATAAGATTACGATTAAATATAGTAAAAGAGAATGGTGAGTACACGGTACGGTAAAGTACAGTACTTAACAAGTGATGCGTCGGATACATCGTTAGGTATTTTTTCATTAATATTCTCTTCCGAATTTCAGCTGTTGCTTCTGCCTGCGTATGCAGGTCAGATTAGACCACACATGCTGAAAAGACACCCATCACACGTCAACCAATGTCCCCGCCGTAGTCCTGACCGTTTAGCAGATTACGGTTGTAAATGGCAGCCCTGTAACTGTACCTATTTATGGCTGGCCGATCGGGAACAGGCGGCGGTACCAATGCCACGTCTGAGTTCAGCAGCGACCCGCTTCCCTCGTCTACCTCGCCGATACAGCTCTCCACCAGCGATGGTTCCATCTCTGTGAACGCCAATCTGGACCGTAACAGGTACGCATACGTCTTATACCTCTTCAGCTGGAATAGTGAAATGTAAATTAGTAATTAGCTATTTAAAACCGTTACTTATAAGCATTATTCAAAATTTAATTGAAAGTTAAGACAAGTATATACCAAAGAATGAATAAAATTAATTTAAGCATGGTGTAAATAATTCTTCCTATATATTATACCTCAGTGAAGTTTACTAGAAATAAAGCAAAAATCAACTGGAATTTGAATACGAGCATAGTACTTTGATATTAAATTTATGTAAGTGGTTAAGGGTAAAGGAACATGAAAAGTACTGTGGTGAAAGTGTCGAGTTCTTTTACTCTTTGTGAATTTTCTTTTCCTCTTTGGGCGTTAAGCAATTCGCTTTGATTCGATAAAACATACCATAACAAATGTAAAATATACTAAGAATTTCTACAAATTTCTATGCTTCTCTTACTGAAACATCTATTAAAACAGTTTGAGTTGCAATCACGAATATTTAAGGAATTTTAAGTAAATCCAAGAATATTATGTATAAATTATAAATGTATTATAAATTATATGCATCTAATATTTTTATAGGAAGTCAAACTTTATTATTGTACGTTACCTCATGATGTAAGTAGGCATCTTTTTCCTTATAATTCTGTACAGTGAGAGCTTTAGCTCCCCTCTCAGGTGGATGTCGTCTGTGCTCCTCCAGCTCAGCTTCCAACTTGTTCACCCTTTCCTCATGGTCCCGTAACTGTTCTCTCTGATAACACGTGAAAAAAATCCAACAAACCGTCATTTACGCGCAATTCTCGAAGAAAAAATCACGAGACAGAATCTATCTTTCTACTTTGCTTGTTTAACTGGTATTTAATATATTTTGTACACTACACTCTGTACGACGGTTCTAATTCTGGTGTCCGAATCTCGAGTACGAGAACTTAGAGAACGGAGTTCGCTTCGGGGATAGTGGAGGAAGGCTTGCAAATAAAGAAACAATGAAGACAGATTATATTCGTTTGCGTGACCGAGCAGAAGAAACCACTTTTCTTAATCTCTTCTATTTCGCGAACACTACTCACAGGAGATAATTTCGTGTGGCTGCAAGGAAGTAGAGGTCGTTGAAATTTTCGTTGAGAACCCACCGCTTCTGCTAATGGCTGGCAAGAAAAACTGGCGCACACGAAGTTGATTGTGTCAATCCACGACTGCAGTTCTTTGGAATCACTGAAAATTTAATACGTGTTAATTAATAATCTTAATTGATGGTATTAACAATATAGTTTAATAATTAATTAATTATTTATACGATACTTTTATTGGCCAAAAGAATATATTTATGCTAAAATTACCTCGTTTGGAAGAGATACTCTGCTTGATCAGCAGTCTGTAACCTGAAGACGTGTTCTTTCTTCGTGTAGTCAGATGCTATGGTGGCTAATGCGTGATGAATGCGTATCGCGTTGTGCAAACTATCGTTACGGAAGCCATGCTCGTCTTTGTGCAAATATAATACAAGTTCCCTCAATGTACAATAATACATCTTCCAGCCGCGTTTCCCGAACGGTGCTAAAAGAAGATGAAATACTTTTTTGAGCTGTAAAGTATTAGACACATTGCTAACTGCATTGAATACACGTCCAAATAGAACATCCAAAAAGAATACAATAAAAATTAATGACACGACGTTTAAAAACGAAATTCGTTAGACTTGTGCATAACATTATTTTAATAAAACAAAATATATTGGAATAAAGGAGTAGTGGGAGAGGGGGGTAATAGTAGGTACATGTAGTCATAACCGTTAACAATGTATTAATCAAATTTTTCTTATAAATAATTCATTTTGAATTATTTAATATCCTCAACCAATGACTTACTTATGGATTTGTCATGAAATAATATAAAATATTTTACGAGGAACATTTTTTCTTATAATTGTAACCTATTGTAACAAGTCACAAAGGTTGAGCATATTAATTATTTTTCCTTAAAAAAGGTATCGGCAAACATGAAATATATTACTTTTCTTTCCATTGGAATCGAAACAGCATTTCCGCATAACATATCCCTTCTTGAACTCCGTAGCACCCGTAATATTTGGCACATCGAGAAACGGATTTCCGGTACCAGATATCGCTGGACCGTCACCCTGTTGAATCGCCTGATTCGCAGTTTCATCCCCTTCCTCATCCCTGAACAATGAACAAACTCCATCGTATCTCCGACGACTTACAATAACAGAAATCATCTTTAAAACTTGATTAAACTCACAGGGCCCATTCCAAGGGGAATGATTTGATGGCGTTGTAAAGCTGCTTCAGTACCTCTCTGGGGAAGTTACTGTGGTCGTTCATTCCTGAGAGGTTCTCAATAAAATCGTTACACGACATCTTTCTGCTGATATTCTGACCGTGTAGGTCCGTATTGAGCAGCATGATAGCACAGGTTAAAGTATGAACAGCGTCTGAAATAAAATATAGAACAGTGAACACAGGCAAACACGATAAACTCTATTTTACAAACTAAATTACTTTACAACGAGAATATTTACCCTGAGATTTGAAAGCGCCAGGGTTACAATCGAGAAATCTCTTGGAGAAATGTACAAGAACCCTCTCCCTTTCCTGGGTCTCCCCAGTCAAAGAGAACTGGGCAAGGAACTTTCTGAGAGCTACGTCCAGCGTGTCCCGTTCGAAGCTGAAGTATCTCAAGTATTCTTCGGCTACCGCTCTACTAAAGTCGTTGCTGCAAACCACAACAAGATGACCAGAATGTTACCACCATGTTACCAACACATTACCAAGAATTTCAAACACGACCAGGTTAGACCTAGGAATCCAAGAGCCCGAGGACTCAGAGGAACCGACTACGTACTTTTTGCTAAGGTGTCTAGAGACGTCAGACTTTTTGAAGCCGTCCAAGCTGTACAGCCTTTTGGCCAATCGAACTGCCGATGGTAGGTCCACCGCTTTAGGACTGTAATGGAAGCTGTGCAGACTTTCGATATCGCTCTCCTCGTCGGCGGACTGCGGTGGCGACGCACCCCCGTGTTTGTCCTCGTAGCACCCGATGTTCAGAGCTTCGTTCTCGTCCTCGCTCTCCTTCAGCTCCTGCAAAAGGGTTCACAATTAGAACACTACTCCCTTCCAAAGAAGCATTATTCGATAACGTCAAATTACGTTTCACCACAACTACGACACTCGAACAGAAGCTATATAGACCACTTCTAGAGATGCACAGTAGGGAAACCACGTTCGCGAATAACAAGTAAAATCTCGCTAGACTCCATTCGACCCGAACATCGGTATCTCTCGCGAAAGGAGTTCCACTGAAATCTTTCTTCGGACTTATTACGGTCTACGATCCTCATACTCGACTTCGAATAACGAATAAAACCTCGTCGAACTTTCCTCCGATATCTCCCGGTCACCCCGGAATTACCCCACATCTATAGTTCTCTTATAACGAATCCCACCGATATCATCCATCGAACCCTCGCACACTCCCGATCTAATACTAATCTTACCTGATAGCCGACGAACTCAGGCGTGACGTTCCCGGCGGTGTTATTAGTGGGTCGCTGCACGGTGCTTTGCGCGGTGGCAGACGTGGGCACGAGTTCCGGATTGCTGAGGTTGCCCCGTCGCCGGTTCTGCCTGGGACTCGTGTTCCTCGCCGCAGCGGCGTCCTTGTCAGGCCCCTTCACCTGTATCACTATCCTATGCTCGGTGTTCTCCTGGCCCGGTGCATACGCGTTGGTCGCAGGCGCAACCGAGGTGGCAGCAGCTGTCTTGAGCCTCCTCTGGGGTGGCTCGCTGGCGAGTATCGTCGAGTCACTGTCACTGGGATCACTGACCATCATGATATCGCGTGCACTGAGTATGTCCATAGTCTCCTCGTCGTTGTAGTCGGGACTGGACATGTTGCTGATGGCCTCGGACTGGCTGAGGTCACCGTTGGTGGGATGAAGGCCGGAGGCCGAGGAGGTGGTCCCGTCGCCGGAGGGGCCCAGGGCTGCCGCGCTGGTGCCCGTGGGTACCGGCGGTGGGAACCTACGGGATCCAGAATTGGAGGACATGACGGAGGACGAGACCGAGGTAGGGGAGGTTGGCGATAAGGATCTTTGGGGACTAGTGCCCTCGGTCGAGGAGCTACTCGACGAGGATTGTGAGGAGCTACCGTTTTGGCAGCAGGAGGTGCGCTCCGAGGCGGACGGCGAGCTGACTGGCGCGTTGTACGTCCAGACGATCCGCTCGCTGGACAGGCCCTGGCCGCTGTCCGGCCGCGTGTCCAACAGGGTGTTCAGGCTGGACGTGACGTCGTCGTCAATGTCAATGTCCACCGCGCTCATCGACGGGTCCTTTTGGAATTGCAAGTGGTCCTCGGAGCGCGAGGTGCGTACGAAGCCGCTCGAATAACCGAAACTCGCGGCGTTTTGTTTGCTATTATCGCTCTGGCCCGGACACTGGCCGCTCTCACGCTTGCTGATCCCGACCGGTGAGGTGCTGGCCGAGTTCGAACCGGTGCACTTGTAAGCACGGTGATGGCCCAGCATCTCGTTAGGACTGGTGGGTACCGAGTTATGATGGTGGTGATTGTGGTGATTATGGTGATGGTGGGTGTGATGATTGTTGTACCTCAGCGAGTCGACCTTCTTCTGGTGCTTCGGCAGCAGACCGCTGCTCTGCTGGGTGCGCGACAGGTTCAGCATTAGGTCGCCGGTCATCATGTAGGCTTCGAACCTGTAATCAGTGTATCAAGAGTTTAGGTTCATATGTCGTTTTTGATACCCCTTTTTTAATCGAACGGAACGGTTTGTACTGTGAACTTGTACTGTGAGTCCTCGAGAAGAAGGCACGGCGTGTTTACATCCTCAGGGCTAACTAACCCTGGTGACACTCCTATGATCACAAACAGTGACAGCTATTGGCCGAAGATGGTAACGAAGATCAAGGGTGGGTCGTAGTAAAATGGAGTGAAACAGAATAATTACAGTATCAACATAGTCTTTCGGTCTAAATGTTAGCTACTGAGAAACAGAGAGCTAATATTATTCTGTTTCACTTGGTCTTGCTACTTGCTTGGTCTTGTGATCATGGGAGTGTCAGTGGAGTTGGTCAGCCATAAGGATAAAAACATACCATGCCTTCTTTTCGCAGATGTACAGTACGTGCACTTTAATCTCTCCAATTTGATAAACCAAAGGTCAGCAACGTGATCACCACTGTACCAAACATCGAACGTACTGTATGTTGCTGATAAATTGCCACTTGAGAGAGCACTCTCTCCATCAAACGATAGGATATAATCCTATTCGTAGATATAACGAGAAAGCTTCCAGTCAATAATGAAAACTCGTCTGACCTATCTGTACGATTGTGTTACAGGTGGACCTAGTATACCGTGGCCAATCAGTATGCCAACCTACCAGCCGTGTACAGTACTTCAAGCTGACTCCCTCCGCAAATTGGGGTAAAATCGAAGTGTCCTTTCACGAGGTCCGAAAGGAACCAGGGTCCTATCCAGGGATCTGAACCAATTTTAGATCCTAATGATCTAAGTGCGATTACCTCGGTGTGTTCTTCTGCCTGGAGAACTTGTCGCCGGAGAGCGGCTCCCACTGGGCACGTTCTTCCTCCTTGAAGCTGTCGACCGGCGGAAGCAGCGCCTCCAACTCGGAGGAACCAGACGCGTCGCTATAGGAGCCGTTGCTTCTGGTCGTGTACTGCGTCGCGCCGGTCGGTTCCTGCGGAGATCCACCCGGAAGTTCCGGTGTCCCCGGTTTCCTCGGCTCCGTGTCCTCGTCATTGCTGGACGACACGGGCCTGGGGTTATTCGCGAGGGTCGTCGCCTCGTGGGAGATCTTGGACGAGTCTGTCTCGTCGCATGTCGGCTGACCCGGTGACAACAGCCGGCGCACGTGAGCTTTTATCGCAGGATCTGAGGAAACGAGGCTCTCTTATATCCACTGGCTTTTGGTAAACACGATTCTTCTGCGAGATTTTTCTATCGGTCGAGACCAATGCTACTTTTTTCTACCCTCTTTCCGCCTCGCTTTCAGATTCCAGATCGAGATTGAGATTTGGTTTACGACTTGGACTGTCACGTGGTTCGTGGAGTGCGATGGGGATGAGAGGAGGCGGATTAGGTGCTTTGGGTGCAAGTATAGAAGAAAAGGAGGACGTGTGCGCTTAAAGTTGAAGGAATCCAGGGTCATAAAATACCTAGATGGTAGATCGGTATCGATTGATGTCTCTCCGCGCCATCTGGTGTGGAATTTGTCACTCACAGTTTTAACACAAAAATTTTACGAATATTTTTACAATTTTAGGTCAGTTATGGCTGATTTAAATTAAGAATCTAGGAACTAAGATTATAATTAAAACTGAGATACAGAGATCGAGAAATAAAAATTGGAACGTTATATTCTGAATAAAACAGAGTTTGTAGGACTTCACTGAGCTTCTCCATTCTACACTTCTCCTTTTCACCAGGTGTATATACAAGTACAGGACTACGTAATAATAAGAAAATGTGCCACAGCACGTATACCGCAAGAAACTTCAAACCGGAGCGACGTTGATTTCGAGGCCCTCGCAAACCACTCTTTAGACACGTATTTCTTAAAGAACGTTCAAAGCTTTAGAATTTCTACCTCGGCTTTAGACCCTCCCGAATCTACCAACCACGAAACTTACTTCCTGCGCTGGCTCATTCGAAAATTTCTACGCTCTTTCTATCTCTATCCTCGAAATAAAACGATCAAACCACTTCGAAAATTTCCTAATCCATCATGATCGAAACCCAATTCTCAGCATTCCCTAATTATACGATACATACGAATGCACTAAATCTCGTAACACCGCAAGACTGCCACCATTTTAAATCCTCCACGCATATCTCTAAACCCAGCATCAGCTTTAGGTTCTGACACGAGCCAGGAATACCATTGGAGAGTTTCATATCACCCCGAATTACGAATACAAGTCTACAAAGCTCGGGAATATCGCCATCACCTGCCGCCATAGTGCCTCTATACCCAACGCCAGGACCAAGAGGGTTGAACAGCCTTGGCTACCGCGGCGTTCCTTCCGTTCTTCTCCGCACCGCAGGAAATTTATCACCAGCTCGTGGAGCGCTTCAAAGAGTGCGGCCAACGGTCCCCAGGTCGACGCCAAAGAAAAACTCGTGGACGGGCCATCCGGCTGGAAACGCGTCGGCGGAACTCCGATTCCCCGGGGTGAAGGGATCGCCTCACGAGGACGCGATTTACGAGCGTTGGTACTCGCCCTTAAATAATGCAGCTACGCCTACGCGTCGCTTGTTGTTCGACGACGACACCGCCGGCTGGCGGCCGTCGTTTGACGTTCACCCCCCTCCACCAACGAGGGCCGGAGTGTTCAGCGGACCGGGTTTATGATCCGTCGGTGAGGAACGCAATATCCAGAGGAGTCTGGCCGCCCTCGAGGCCCGCGTTTCCTTCCACGGGAATTTAATGGACGTTTTTGGGCTACGTGTTTGTTAACGCGGCTGTGTTCCGCCGTTGAGTGGCTCGGGGTGTGGGGCTGTTGCCCCGTTTTCGGGGTAGGAGCGGATTAAACGGGGCATCAGAGGAGTGGGGAAAGATTGGAGAGATTGAGGCTTTTTGCGGGAGCAAGAGTGCTTGGTGAGTGGTTTATGGTAGCTGATGGTTTGTGGCATTTGCAGTTCGTGATTCGCGTGTACTGCAAAAGTAGGAAAGTTGGGGAAGTATTTACCGAGGTGGTAAAAGTCCGTAAGATGTTTGCTGATGCTTCAATTCCAGGTTTTTAATAAATTATTCCGGTAAATGGTAAGATTTATTAATACGGTTGGCAAATAGCACGTGTGTGTATGTATAATAGGATTTAAGAAAGCAATTGTGTGGAATTATACAATGTGTTGGGTAGTTGTAGTACCGGATTTTCACAGTAGATGGTGCTGCTTTGTTCTTCAGTGTAAAGTGTTCTTAAGATACTAAATATAATACTATTCTTAGTAAGACAATGGTATTTTTAATAAAATTTCTTTGTTTTAAAGAAAATCATAACAATTTTTGCACTAAAAATTACTATTTTGTATTATATTCTGACCATATTTTGCAACCTAACCTAACCTAAAATTATTTTAATAAATGTGTTTAGGAAACTTTTCATGCTTATTGTATATCTTGTATCTATTTATTTATGGAATTGTTAACCCTGTGTGTGTATGATATATTGAATATAATTTACGTTCTTATTAATATTAACAATTTTTAGTAACATTTCTAGTACCGATAACAGTACTGAGCCAAAAATAAATTCTAAAGGATTCTTACTCAATTCATCCCCTGTGGCATTAAATAATTCAGCCATTCTTGAATTTTTTAGTTACGTCTACGAGATGTTTCTGATCCTCTCATAAATTTTCGATCGCACTTCGATCCGGAGTAGCGAAGTAGAAGAAAATTCTGATTTTGATATAAAGCTAACAGAAAGTCAGGAAGCAAGGTATCCGCGCAAGCATCTGCAGTTTATTAATTCTGGAACACAAACCTAACCCAAACCTCCCCATTGAGGATACTACACTCTTTTCCTTTAAGTAAACTTTCGAAATTAATAATTCATCTACTTAAAATAGAATAGCAGGCTAATAAAAGAGAATTTAAATCGGTATCTAACTTCCAGATCACGTCAGTCATTAACCTAGGTACCCTCAATCCTTCTCTTCTCATAGCATACCGAAACTAATTATTAAAATTCTCTAGCATGCCGAAGTACGCTATACAATATCCTTTTACTTAGATATGACCAAAAAATAGGTATAGTTTCTATCATCCTACGAGAAAAAGAAATTTAACGAGAATCTTAAGTGAGTATCCTTGTAATCCGACTAATAAAAATCGACTTATTTAGAATTTTTTTTTAAAGAAAGTATGATACATTTTCGTATGCAGTTTTCGCACTTAGATTTATTTATATTTGAAGAATATTTCCAATTTTTTTGTAACGAAATTATTGAAAATTGTGGAAATTAAACAGCCTTAGGTAAATCGTGTTTTTAAAAACGGGCTCGAATGGCTGACACGATCCCGGACCATCTGGTTATCTGAAACGAAAAAACTAAAAAGCATCTGAATTAGTATAAATACAGCTATAACACGAACCATCAAAAAAGCGAAATTTCGAAAATTAAAAAAATGGCAGCATTTTGAATTTAAATATCAATTTTCCTCGTGCTTCGTTCTTTGGGTGGCAAACAAAAATAGAAAAAATCATCAGATTTTGAAATTCGTGATTCACGCGATGAAGGTACATCCAGTGAAGATCCTCTCCAAATTTCAATTCAATTGGTCAACTAAAACGCGAGATATTCCGTCAGCCAGTTCAAAAAATACAGTTTCGAGAAAAACGCGTTCAAAGTTTTCGTTCTCCATTGCACAATACCTATACGACGTACTTTAAACATCTATAACTTCGCTAATTTCACGAATTCAGAAAAATCCTTTTACATAGACATTTTTCAAGGCAAATACTTCAAGAAAATGTAAAAAAAAAATTTGACATTTTTAAGTCGAATTACAAGAATACCCTCTTAAATCCTAAATAAATTTTACATTTACATTGGCATAAATAAAAATACGGATGCAATACCGGTAACAGAATTAGGAATCCATTAAAAATTCTTTTAAATTCTCCCAGCACCCCTGAAGCCTCTCTCAGCGCCCCAAACGTGGATCTCTGTGCCGGGCAATTGCACAACGACGAATAAAATAATTGCAGGCAGAGCCATATCAGGAATACAATCTCCATTTCCCCACGAACTCTGAATGAGCCAACGACAGCCCAATGGTACAGAACGGGGAGTCTATTTCCTTCGTTCGAGCAGGGTTTCCCGTGCATCGTCTTCCCGCAGACCGTGAGTAATCAACGAGCCACTCTGATAGAAAATCGTTTGTTAACCGAACGCGTCGTTTGATCGTTGGCTCGTGCGCTTAATTACCTGCTCTCGACGTTCTCCCTATTTTCCCTTTTTCTTCTCCTCTCTTTCCCATGTATGTATATTCATTTTTCACCCTCTCCTGCCTGCGCCGCGACGCGGAGGAACGCGTGAGCGAGGAACAGCTGGCGTCGCCACGGTGTGCAGACACAGCGTTTAAAAGCGTCGTGCAGACGCACGATCGCGTTTCCTATCGGTTATTATCGCGTAATTCTATTATTACGATCAGGTTCAAGAGCGACTATATGCGCGTGCACCGAGTTCTATCATTAGACCAGCGGAGTTCAGTCACCAGCTGACGTAGGAATGGCCTACGTATGTTCGCAGACCTGGTGACCGTCTAAAATTCCTCTTGGTAGTTTATGTTGACGTTTAGAACCTTCTTCTTGGACGTCCATGGGGTGTTATTAAATTCAGGCGGGATGATTGGAGGTTATGGTTGTTGGACGTTGGTGAAGGTGTTATGGGGTTCGGGGGGAATAAGAGCGACTGAAAGGTGGTTTTCTGAGTTGAAATGTGAGTTTGATGAAGGATTGTATGGTTTGGAAGCTTTTGGAATTGGAAGTGTTTCTTAAAATTTTTGGAATGAAATGTTGATTTTGGTTCTGATTGTTCAACAACCTTTAGTCACCATTTTGTCTCCTAAAAGAAGTATTTCTCACTTTAAAAACCGAAATGTTAACAAAATTTTGTAGATATTAATTTTTAAAAGATAGGAAAGTTTTGGATCCTCAAAACTTATATTTTGTGTCTCAAAATATCCATTGCTATGGTGTATTTTTACTTAAATATGATGACTAAGAAAGAGTCGATAGCTTCATAATGATGGTACCTTTATAAATCATAGTGAAAAATTGTAATGAACCATGAGAATTTATTTTGATTATATTATATGTTCCTTGTAATAAGTATTAGGTTTGCTCTTCTTCTTCTTGTTAGCA